AGGACACACAGGGAGAAGGAGAGTATGAAGACAAGCTAGCTGCCTTAGCTAAAAAACAGGCAGTAGTAGAAGTGACTCGGACAAGGGAATGATTGGCAGCCTGCCCAATGGAGCACGTGAAGGAAATTAAGGCCTGCAGTAACATGCTCCCACAGACACTAGGTCTCTAAGCAAGGTACTGACAAAGACTAAGAGCAGAGCAGACCTTGGAGATAATCAGCCTCTTATCATACAACTAGGGAGAATGAAGCCCAGTAGCATTAAATGACATGCTTGAGGCCTCAGTGAGTGGAAGGGGTGGAACCAGAGTCAAAACCAGACCAATTGCAGTAACCAAAGAGGATCTGACTTTCATATCAGGGATGGGGGGAAGGAGAAAGGACTGGGACACAAGGCTAGTCATTCAGGTTTGTCCTGATCAGGGCCCCAAACAGGATCATGCTAGAAAAGGGCCACAGCAGGTGACAACTAGGAAAATAGGTATAGGTAATCTGAAAACAGAAAAAAACTCACTAAGACTTAGAAATAGATATGGGAGTACAAAAAGAAACAGAACATTGTAAGCCATGTTCCCCATCAAAGAATGTTGGCTTCCCACAACCATCTGAGTTGTGAAGCACCCAATCAGTGACAAGTCAGCAGCTTCCATTCAAGACCCCGGCACTTTCTTTTCACAGCCAATTTCCAAAACCTAGGAAATCAAGAGGACTTGAAAATTCCAACACCTATGACCCTGATGACTTGAGATACCTCAAACTCCATACAAATGGTTAGGTAAGTGAGGAAACAGAAACAAGCTAGTTGTCCTTACTGGCTAGTACTTATGAAAAAGTTTATGAAAATGTAATTTTTAGGACCTCCCTAGAGGCACAAAGGTTAAGACTCCGTGCATTCAAGCTATCAAGCTATATAGCTCCAGCCATGAGTTTTGAGTTTGATCCCCAGCCAGGGAGCTGACCCACATGACCCAGCAGACCTCTCCTGTCTCGCCGACTACTCCCCTCAGCAGTGTATTTTGGTCAATCCGCCTGTTCTGTTCCCCACTTTGTCACTGGTGAGTACTCTAACCCCTTCCCCACACACACACCTCTAAGCCTGTACCCTAGTTCTTATATGCATAAATAAATAAATCTTTAGAAAGAAACAAAAAAGCCCCTCCTATCTCCCCACCCCCCAGGTGGCACAAGGGATTAAAGCACAGCACTATGAAGCCATTCACAGCCACTGCAATGTAAGTTCAATTACCCACCAGGGAGCTGACCCACACTGGCACAGCAGACTTCTCCTGTCTTACCTGCTGCTCCCCTCAGCGGTGTATTTCAGTCAATCTGCCTGTTCTGCTCCCCACTGTCTCTGGCGAATCCTCTGACCCCACCACCACCCCTGCACCTCTGGCCTACACCACAGCTCTTGTATTCATAAAATAAATTTTAAAAAGAAAAAAATTTAAAATACCCATAGAAAGTTAACCATCCTTCTTCTATTTCCACAGAGAAATATTTCACTTTATACCACTACTCAAAGTAGTTCAGTAAATGCAGAAATGCAGATAATTCAGGCCCTACCCTCAACCTACTGAATCAGAAGTAGCATTTTATTTTAGCAAGATACTCCCTCTACCATGACTTATATGCACATTCAAATTTGAGAAACACTGGCATAGAGTACTTCAAGGGTGAATGATGAAGCAGTACAGAGATAAAGTACCTTACAGTCAAATAAGGAGACAAAATGGTACCTGTTCACTTTGTGTATACCACATTTTATTAAGCACTGTTCAGACAGACCTCCAATGTATTTTAATTTACTACTCATATTCACAACTGTACATAATGATCATATGATCTAAATACGGGATCTATGTAACCTCCCAAAATAACACCACTATGCTCCAGGACTTTCACGAACATGAAACGGAAAATAGTTTAGTTGTTCTGAGAATATAATCACGGCTAGGGCCTCCCTCGTGGCCTAGGGGATAAGTCTCAGTGCTATCATCCCTGCAGCCTGAGTTTCAGTTCCAATCAGGATCCCAGGTCTGGGAGCTAACCCATATATCACATAGAAGACCTCTCCTGTTTCTGGCTGCTCCCCTTAGCAGTGTATTTCAGTAGATCTGCTGGTTCTGCTTCCCACTCTGTGTCTGGTAAATCCTCTCACTCTGCACCTCTAGCCTACACCCCATCTCTTGTATGCATAAATAAACAAATCTTTAAAAAAAAAAATAAAGAACCTACTAAGAAGCCCTTAAAAAAATAGGAGGTCCCAGATATTTATACATTTTTTAATGTTTTTTCCAATTTTACTTTTTTAAGATTTATTTTACTTAGAGGTGCAGGGGCATGAGAGGGTTTGCTAGAGACAGAGTGGGAAGCAGAACAGGCAGATCTACTGAAGTACTCTGCTGAGGGGAGTAGCAAAGTGAGATAGGAAATGTCTTCTGTGCCATGTGGGTTAGTTCCCTGGCCAGGGATATAACTCAAGCTTCAGTGGCTGCCAACAATGATTCATAGTGCTGAGACTTAACCCCTTCCATAAGCAGGGAGGCCCAGATACATGTACATTATATGGTGGAATTAAAAACAAGACTGGGACCTCGATGGTGGTGCAACAGGTTAAAGCACAGCACTATGAAGCTATCACAGCCACTGCAGCAGGAGTTTGATCCCCAGACAGGGAACTGACCCACATGGCACAGCAGATCTCTCCTGACCAGCCCACTGCTCCCCTCAGCAGTGTATTTCAGTCAATCTGACTGTTCTGCTCCCTACTCTATCTCTAGTGAAGCCTCTCACCTCCCCTACAACCCAGTTCTATATGCATAAATTTAAAAAAATAATAGAGGATGATGGGCAGAGCCAAGGTTCATTCCAAACTTTCAACCTACACACCAGGACAAGAACAAAAGTGACCAAGAGATTCCTCCAAATGACCTTGTTTCCAGTTAAAAGAAGGAAGAAAGCAATGTAGAAGGAAAAGTTATAGGTTGGAAGCAAGACTAGAATCTCCTGAGGTTCTACTCCTCAATACAAGGAAATAAAACAAAGAAGAAAACAGCTAACCTCCAGGAGGATTAAAAAGTCCCATTAACAACCAAAGAAATGCGAAGAGAATCCTTTTCAGTTTAAATCTAGTGCTGGGTTATCAGGCAGAGAAGAAAGAGAAAGGAAAATCTCTACAACCATCCAGCAAGCAGAGCAATGTCCAAAAGGAGTTAGAAGCCAAAAAGTGCCTCAGGATAGCACAAGCCAAGAGAAAAAAGTTCCTGTTAGCTGAAAGCAGAAAAAGATAAAAGATTAAAAAAAAAAAAAAAAAACAGGAGAAATACAATAAGCATTCCCTTTGGGTGGGGAATTCAGGAGGTGTGGCAACAGGAAGTGTGCTGAGAAAAATGACAGAAGAGAAAATGCTGTGCTGAAGAAAAAGAGGCATCATCAGAGGAAGGAAGGGGAAATGGGCCCACTGACCACACAGAGAGACCACCTAAAGGGAAATGTGGTTCCTAGGAGGAAAGAATAAGTCTTAGGTGACAGAAAAGCTAAAAGGGGTGGGAACATTTATCACTGCCTGGAAATGCGGACTAAGAAAAAAGGTTTACACCCCGAGATTTAAGAAGCATCAGGATGATGGCTGCATCCTCATAAATGTGTAACCAAAAGCGATGCATTTGGGGGCCGCAGAGAAAACAAGCACCCTCTCAGAAACGGAGTTTCTCCAGAAAACAAGGCAATTAGATTTAGGAACTCATGAAAAATGGTGCAACCCCAAGAATAGAGTAACTGGAAATTACCTTATTTGTATAGCTGCAAATATGTAGCCCCAAATTTCAGGATGTGGCTCTTTTTCCTTAGATACTGAAAACGAAATAGAACCCCAGATTTGAAGAGCTGGGGAAAAGTAGTGACCCCTAAAAATATTAAATTATGTAAAGCTTGTTGTCATTTCGGGCATGAAAAATGGTGTTCTTCCTTGGATTTGTGGGGAATACAAACATACGAAAACATCCGAAATTTGAGACTAGTTTACGAGGTGCACCTCAAAATCTGAAAGGGCGTGCTGTATCAAATTGTAGGCTCAAAAACGGTGTATCAACCCATTTTGGGGGGTTAGGGGAAAAGGTACACCATCAGTTTTGGGGGCCTGGAAATTGGGCTAAAATAGCGGGACTGAAGGTTAAGGGGGTAGTGCATCAACTACATTTTCCAAAACTACATATTAAAGGACACTCCCATAGTCGGGGGCTTGAGAAAGGGGTGTGCTCCCCAGAATAAGATAAGAGTCAATAATATACACACGCGTTCCCAAAGCATAAAACAGCAGCAAGAGCTGGTGGTGGGGCTCTGGAGAACCACGCAGCTCAGGCTCAGGCCCTAAACGCTTACCCCCCACCCCCAACACTGTCCGCTCCGCGCCCCGGGCCCGCACCCCGCGGCCCAGCCCCCTCGAGCAGCGCTGATTGGCCGCGGCCGCCGTCACTCCACCGACAGCCTTGGGGATTGGGCGCTACTTGCACGCCCGCCACGCTCTCAGCAGCGGTCCCCGGGCCTCCCTTCGGGCTGGGCGAGCGGGGCCAGGCGGGGAGCGGTGCTGGAGATCGAAGCAGCTGGGCGTCCGGCACCGTCCCCGT